CTCCCTCGATGACCGAAGTCGGGAGATAGCTGGAATGCCGAACTCTCATGCTCTTCACCTTCCCGCCGCTAAACCAGTCCACCAGGAAAGGTGCGACCCATTCCCTGAACATACATACCCAGCCAGGCTGCTCGTCCTTCAGGAGAGCCCCGAAATTCCTTTTCAGGAAAGTGTTAGTAAAGAAAACGATGGGGTTGACCATGGCCAGACCCCCGTCCTTTCTGGCCAGGTAAGTGACCTCTCTCTTGATGAGGTTCAGTCTGTTCCCCCACAGCATGCGGAAGAACAGCGCAAACATCCGAGCGTGGAGGGACCTGGGCAAAAGGAAGATGTTACTGACGTAGCCGAATACGGTCAGAACATAGGTTTTAATCAGTTTCACCCGTTCTCTGTACGTCAGTTTCCACCTGTGGCTCTCCTCCACCTTGCTGGAAGCTATGGCAAGCCGTTCGGACCAGTTCCTGAGAGCCAGATCCCCTGGTCCGAACATCACCCCCAAGATTTTAATTTCAGACTGGGCCCGCGGGAAACCGTCTGGAAGAGGGAACTGGTCCCCTTCCTTCCCGCACCAGAAAACTCCGCTCTTGTCCCTGTTGACACGAGAGGTTGAAGCGGCAGAATACGCTGAGATTAAATCATCCACCTCCGTGGCCTCCTGTGTATCGGAGACCACAATGGAGATGTCATCTGCGTAGGCGACTACCCGTAAAGGCCTCTCCTGAGCCCTGGCCACTCCCTGCAACGTGCTCGCCTCGACCCTTCGGATGAAGGGATCGACTGCAAACACGTACAGGAGCGGGCTGAGGGGACAGCCTTGCCGGACCCCGGATCGGATCCTAAACGTTCTGCCCCTCCACCCGTTCACAAGAGCGAAGCTCTCGGCCCCTCTGTACAAGGTGATGACCCAATTGATAAATTTACCCGGCAAGCCATACTTCCGCAAGACTGACCACAGATAACGGTGATCGACCCGATCAAAAGCTTTGGACTGATCAAGTGCCAGAAGGTATATCCCCCTTCCTCCGGCCCTGCACTTCTCGAGAGCTTCCCTGACCTCGAAAACGGCATCGAAGACAGTTCGTCCCCCAATTGTACAGTACTGGGAGGTGGATAGGATACGCCTCGCCAGGCCCTGTACCCGTTTCATCAAAATTTTTGCCAGGACCTTCCTGACGACATTTAACAGGGATATGGGGCGCCAGTTCCCCACATCCGCTGTGTCGAGCACGTTCGGCTTGGTCAGCAAGATCAGGGCAGAAGTCCTCATCGAGGGTGGCAATAATCCTTGAGCTAAGCTCTCATTAAACACCTCGGTTAAATGAGGGGCCAAGAGGTCGCAGAACTGTTGGTAAAACTCAGCCGTCAGACCATCAGGACCTGGCGACTTACACTTGTTCTGCTGCTGGATACTCTCTGTGACCTCTTCTATGGTGATCTCGCTGACCAACTCGTCAAAAGAAAGGTCGCTATGCTCAGGGAGGGTGAGCTCGCTTAAGAAGTTATCAATCTCTCTCCTACGTGATGTTCCCCCCTCGGCACATTGGGGGCTGCCCTTACCGAGGAGCTCAATATAGAAGTCGCGGACCACCTTCAGAATCCCGTGAGGAGACTCCTCAAGGATCCCGTCGGTGCCCCGCAGACCAGCGATAGTTTTGGTACCTTCCTTCCGCTTGCAACTCAGATAAGGATCGGGCGAGTGGTAAGACCCATGATCCCTCTCCTTTACAAGGGAGGCGTACCTATCATACTGATAACTCCTCATCAGGGACTTGACCGCCGCAATGTCCTCAGGGTCACCTCCCCGCGAGATCAAGACATCCAACCTCCCAAGCAAGCTCAGATACATCTTATACCTAGAGGACTGCATGTTTCGGGCGAGATTGCGAAACAGCCCTCGAGTTCTGGCCTTCACCATCTCCCACCACTCAGACTTCGTTTGGCCTAAATCGGCCAATGTCATCTGATCGTGAAAGAATTCCATGAAGGCTTGCTGAACCCTCTGTTCCACCAGGAGGTCTGAATTTAGCCGCCAGATCCCTCTACCTTTAGGTGGGGTACTGTGGACGTTCAACTCGCAAGACAAAATGTGATGGTCGGAGAACTCCACCGGTGTAAGCACGGGTGCCGCCACCGGGAAATTCTCCTTAAAGAAAAACCTATCTATCCTACTCTGACAGCTACCTCTGTGATAAGTGTACCCACCCGTGGTATTGGGAGTGTGATGAAGGTACACATCGACCAATCCAGCCTGACTAACCATCTTATTTAAAAAATAGGAGTCATACCCCAGCCTCTGAGTGGCGTCTCTCCTGTCTTGAGGCCTAGTTATGGTGTTAAAGTCACCGCCAAACAGGATTTGCTGGGATGTATAAAGATAAGGCTCTATCTCAATAAACAGGCGCTTCCTCTCCCACTTAGATTGGGGGCCATAGATATTAATTATCCTGAAAGGTTGCCTGCCCATTGAGACATCTAAAACCACACACCGTCCTTTTTGCAACTCAATAACCCTGTTGATGCTAACATCAACGTCCTTAAATAGGATGGTGATTCCCCCATATCTCTCTGTGGCTAGAGAGAAGTAGGAGGGCCCCCATCTCCAGTCCCGCTTTGCAGCGTGCAGGGCCGCGAGGGTTTCCAGCCGGGTCTCCTGTACCAAGATGACATTGTACGGAGCCCGGCTGAGGTGGTCGTAAACCAAAAAGCGGGCCCTGCTGGACTTAATGCTGTTTACATTCACCGTAGCCACAGAGAGTACAGGAAAAGTCGCCATAAGGGCATTAAGTATAAGGAGACTTTCCCTTCCTTCTGCGGTACCCCTCCTCCTCCGTGTCGGAACCAAGGAACCTCTTCACTGAGACTCCGGGATACAGCGGCCCGTCGTCTCTCAGAAGCACCTCCTGTCCCACTTCAACCCCTGCCACCACCTCGGGGAGGTTCGCCATCTCCTCCTCGTACTCACAGTTGGCCCAGCTGGAGGACAGTGCCTCGTACCTGTTAGATACGGGCACCGGGGCCTCCTGCAAGCCCGAAGAGGAGGATGACGCCCGTGCCACACCACCCTTATAAGTGGCGTCTCCCCCTTTCGGGGGTTTCGCCGCAGGGGGTATGGCGATCTTCTGGGGTGAGGGCAGCGTCGAGGTCTTGGAGGGGGGGGGTTTCTTACCTTTCACCGTGCTCCACTCTAGGGACTGTGCATCTAAGGGACGTGCATCTGGGGACTTTTCAGTGGGGGTAACCTTCACCGTGGAGAATTTAGGAGGGGGGGGCCTAGGGGGAGGGGGTCTAGGGGGAGCCATAATGGCTGTGGAGGTAGTGCGTTCTCTACGTACACTTTTCGTGAGGGGACGTGAACTTGTGGCCTTCCCAGGGTCCTGAGATGTTACAGAGACCGAGGGGAGGATGGGTTGTTGCTGGGGCAGGGAAACCCTTGTGCCAGAGATGGGCCTTGTAGATGACGATGCTACCTGAACCCCTAACCCAGCAGAGTCCATCTCCACCGGCTCCTGACTCCAGATGGACTCTACATTGTGCTGGGCTTCGGGGCAGGTGCGGTACGTGTGACCCATCTCTGAACACAGATGACACCGGATCTCCCTGCAGCTGTCCCGGAGGTGCCCCACAGCGCCGCACATAGTGCATTTGAGGACCGTACAGGCATTGCTGTAATGCCTGTACGATCCGCACTTGTGACATACCCTGGGCTGACCAGGGTAAAAACAGGATACCCGGTCAGCCCCGATGAAAAAACTATTAGGCATATGCTGTGTGACACCTCGAATCTCCCGCAGCAACACTGAAACAGTCCATCCGCCTGTCCAAATCCCATCCTCATCTAAGATCTTAACAGGGGGGGATTTAACATCCCCAAACCTCTTAGTCCAAACAAGGATGTCTGCTATGGGGATGGATTCATTTCTCACCAGGAAAGTGACCTTCTTAAGACCCTGGCGAGAAATGGCCACAGCGGTGAATCCTGCCCACTTTGTACCCTGTGCAGACCTGGCCGCTTCCCACCCAGCCCAGAAGCGATCCAGGAGCTGCGACGTCATAAAGGAGACGTCGAACTCCCGGGTGCCCGAGGCATGGATGAGCGCGTACAGGTCCACGGGCGCAAATCCCATATCCTTTAGCCGGGTCACCAGCCACCGTCTGTCAGGCACCTGGGTCTCACCCCCACAGATGAGCCGTACCACGTTCCTCCTGTTCCCAAAGGAAACCTGAGGACGCGTAGCAGGCCCGTCCGCAGAGAGGCGAGGTGGCCCAGATGCCCAAGCATTGGGCGCACTGGGACCCGCCGTCTGGGAATGATTCGGACGGACTCCCCTCGCTGAACCAGAGGCCTCGGTCACACCAGAACCCTGGGTGACAACCTGGGAGTGCCTAAGGGGAACCCGTGTACCTGCTTGTGCGTCTAAACTATTTATAACCGCGGCACCCTTTGTCAGGGTGCCTGTGCCCGTGCTCGTGCCCGCCACTTGTGTACCAACTAACTCCAGTGAACCAGGGGCAGGGGCAACATAACCTGAGGCGGGGCAACATAACCAGGGGCAGGGGAAACAGTACCAGGGGCAGGGGCAATAGTACCGGGGGCGGGGGTACCGGGGGCGGGGGCAACATAACCAGAGGCAGGGGCAACAACACCAGGGGCAGGGGCAACAACACCAGGGGCAATAGTACCGGGGGCAGGGGCAACAACACCAGGGGCAGGGGTAACAACGCCAGGGGCAGGGGCAACAACACCAGGGGCAGGGGCAACAACACCAGGGGCAGGGGCAACAACACCAGGGGCAGGGGCAACATCATTAATACAAACAGGCTGGCTGTGGACCTTTTTACTAAGGCCAATAGGTCCCATCATTACATTTACATCCATACTCCCATCCTCCTCAGCCATCCCTAAACCACCAGTGGAGTCAAACACAATGTTAGTCATACTTTTCTTACCTCCACTGGCGGTTTCCTCAGTATGGACTGCTGGCTGAGGATGATGGGAGTCCCCTGCAGTCCTGTCTTCCATAGCGCCCGCGGCACCAGGAACAACAGGAACAACAGGAACAACAGGGGGACTGGTTACACATTCAGACATAAGGGGAATACATAGGGAAGCAGGGGGAACAGACTGGAAGACAAACTTGGACACATCCAGGGAAACAGACTGGGGGACAAACAGGGGAGGAGACTTGCTGGTAGGGGAGAGCAGTCGAGCTTGCTCCAAGGGAGCAGAGGGAAAAGGAGGGCCATCACCCTGCTCCAGACTGCTCCATCCAGTGCCATCCTGCCCAGCAGCCGCCTGAGGACAGGAGGCAGAGGTACCAGCCACTCCAGGGGACGCAACCACACGGAGAGGAAGGTCAGAGGGAAGGCAGGTAAGGGAGGGAGTGGGAAGGGAGCAAGGGAAGGACCCCTCCATGGGATCACCGGTACACGCCATAGTACCGGCGGGGATGGTCTCCCTGTCACCATGGAGGGCGGCGGGGGGCCCAGATACTTCCACAGAAGCAGGTTGTGCAGGTTTCTGGGGCATACAGGTGTTGCCACCTGCAGGGTTAGTATCCCTGGCCCCAGGCTTCTGCAAGGCCTGAACATCATCATTGTACATATACTCAGCATTTGAGCACTCACCCTCCTCTGTGGAATCTCCAGACCCCCTGACAGAGGTCTCAGGCTGACGCCGGGCGATGTTTTTCTTTTTCTTCTTTTTCTTCTTTTTGTCCTTTACGGAGTCCTCCCCAAGTTCGTTTCCAAACTTGAGGAGAGACTCCTTAATCAGCCCTCGACCTCTGTCCTGCACTTTCAGCTGCCACTCTTCACCTTTCTCTCCGTCCCACTCCTCTTCACTGTCCTTCTCTCTGGCCTTCCCCTCCGTCTCAGCAGCGCCCCCTGGAGTAGCAAGGGCAGAGGTAGACGGCTCCCCAGGTGAGTGATGGGAGTTGGAATCCAAGTCCTTGCTGGACTCCTCACCTGGGGACATGTCCCTCCTGCCCTCCATAGCCCTCTGCCTCCTGGACCTCGCAGCGTCCTTGGCTCTCTGTTGCAGGATGGCCTGGATGTCTGCTATTTTCTTTTCAGTCTGGAGCAGGGTGTAGGATAGATGCTGCTCCACTAATTTTTTCTCAGCTATAGCGGCCCTCAAAGGACCTCTTTTGTAATTAGAGGTCCTGTTTGATTTTTCCCTCTGCTCCCTTAGCTCTGCCTGGACCCCAGCTAGGCCAGAGTCTGCCTCGGCATGCTGGGCCTTCAGGGACACAAGCAGACCCCGGAGCCTGTCAGAAGGTAGCCCCATAAAGACCCTAGCCTCAACCCCCTCACCCTTTGCAGCCTCAGCATAGGTGAGGGAGGCCTGAGGGGTCTTGCTGGCACTAGCCACCTCAGGGGGGGTCTCAGGGACTACCTCCTCCTCGGTACCCTCTCCCACCTCCAGGGACGGGGGGGGCTGTTCTAGGAAGTGGAGGCCACTGCTGGCAAGTTCACGGCACTCAGCCAGCAGCCCAGAGAGCAGCTGGATATCGGCCCTGGTGTGGGCTGTAGCTCCCTGGGGGACCCCCACTTCCCTTTTCCATGCTGTAAGCTTCCTAGACATCCCCCCCGCCAGTTCCTCCAACAGGGAGACCTGGTTTCGTATTTGCCGGGAGAGGGCCTGATGCTCAGTCCAAGACAGGCCCCTGGTATCCGCCTTACCTTCCCCAAAAGCCAGCACTGCCTGCAGCTCATCCAGCCTGACCTTCCATCCCCAGGCTGGGGAGGAAGGCCCGAGGGCCATGCTTGCCTAGGCCCAGGCAGAGCCCCTTGCTGTAGTAATTCCAAAGCCCAGAAATCAAGCTCCAAAGCAGCCACAAACGGGTGTGGTCCTGGTAACACACAGATGAAGCACAGAGCAGCTCCCTCTCCAGCAGTAATGGCAAACTCCTCCTACTCCAGTGGGAGGGGAGACAGTAAGCCCCACAACCGTGCAGATGGGACCGTGGTCTCTGCACTTACAGCACAGTCGGTCCTGACCCCCAGCGACAGGGCTGTTTAGCCAAAGGGGAGACAGACAGTCTTCCCCCACAGCAGCAGAGCTGTGTATCCAAAGGGGAGACAGTCGGTCTCCCCCTCCAGCAGCAGAGCTGTGTATCTAAAGGGGAGACAGTCGGTCTCCCCCTCCAGCAACCAGGCTCCAACCAGGCTACTTCCATGGTAGTGCTGGCATCAAGGCAGAGTGCCGCTGGTCTCTGCCCACTCAGCAACCCACCAAGGCAGCTTACCAATCCCCTGCACAACTGTGGTGAGGCACCTGGACATGGACAAGTTTCTCCTCTACCCAGGTGTAGTAACCATTTATTGTGGGTGGGCTGTACTGCTGATTGTGTTTTGTGGGTGGGCTGCTGGATTAACAAAGGCACTGACCGGCAGGAGGTCAGATACCCTGTTAGTCTGTTTGGAAAAGGGGAGAGATGTGGCGAAACCAACCTCGCCACGAAGCATTGGAGAAGCCTGGTTGCTCGCCTGTTGCCCTTGGACTATGGCCTCATGTTAAAAAGCCTTTTCCCCTGCAGAAAAGGCTTGTTCGTGCCTTTCTGCCCGGCGTTCGGTTGACTGGATCACCTGTATTGGGAGTGTGTCGGCAGCTTAATTAACGAATTAACCGCAGCTTAATTAACGAATGCTGGGTGGCCTTTGTTTGTTTGCCGAACACGTGGCGGCGGCCATTTTTAAAGTCCCGAACGGCCAGCGGTGTTCAGCGCCCAAACTATGGAACTGGAAACGGACACTTATTTGCGTGAACACTGCTGAGCCGTCAGCCGCCTTGCATCTGCATTCAGTCATTTAACCGGATGCCTGTTCATTCGATAGTTTAACCGTATGAACAGCATTACCCCAGATAGCCATGCCATGGAGCCTATTCGTGTAATGAAAGACTATGAGAAAGACTTTGGCTCCATGGCGATTGAACTGTATGTATGTGATCTGAGCGTCATCAGGTAATAATGTGCGCTCAGATTTAAGCTATAGAAACATAGAATGTGACGGCAGATATGAACCATTCGGCCCATCTAGTCTGCCCAATTTTCTAATAACTTTCATTAGTCCCTAGTCTTATCTTATAGTTAGGATAGCCTTATGCCTATCCCACGCATGATTAAACTCCTTTACTGTGTTAACCTCTACCACTTCAGCTGGAAGGCTATTCCATGCATCCACTACCCTCTCAGTAAAGTAATACTTCCTGATATTATTTTTAAACCTTTGTCCCTCTAATTTAAGACTATGTCCTCTTGTTGTGGTAGTTTTTCTTCTTTTAAATATAGTCTCCTCCTTTACTGTGTTGATTCCCTTTATATATTTAAATGTTTCTATCATATCCCCCCTGTCTCGTCTTTCCTCCAAGCTATACATGTTAAGATCCTTTAACCTTTCCTGGTAAGTTTTATCCCGCAATCCATGAACCAGTTTAGTAGCCCTTCTCTGAACCCTCTCTAAGGTATCAATATCCTTCTGAAGATACGGTCTCCAGTACTGTGTACAATACTCCAAGTGAGGTCTCACTAGTGTTCTGTACAATGGCATGAGCACTTCCCTCTTTCTACTGCTAATACCTATCCCTATACAACCAAGCATTCTGCTAGCATTTCCTGCTGCTCTATTACATTGTCTGCCTACCTTAAGTCATCAGAAATAATCACCCCTAAATCCCTTTCCTCATATGTTGAGGTTAGGACTCTATCAAATATTCTGTACTCTGCCCTTGGGTTTTTACGTCCAAGATGCATTATCTTGCACTTATCCACATTAAATGTCAGTTGCCACAATTCTGACAATTTTTCTAGTTTACCTAAATCATTTGTCATTTGGCTTATCCCTCCTGGAACATCAACCCTGTTACATATCTTAGTATCATCAGCAAAAAGACAAACCTTACCATCAAGACCTTCTGCAATATCACTAATAAAAATATTAAAGAGATATAGTTGCCCCATACCGGCAACCCTTAAAGAGACAGTACAGAAATAATGTCCAAGTGGCTAGGTTTGCCACAATGCTCCCCCAGAACCAAGCCGGCATACTCAGTCTGATCCCAACGGATCGGCTTGGGGATGTCCGGAGGAGTACTCACGGATCACGGCTCCAAGTCTGTTTGTCTAGACAACCCGTCGGCGTTGCCATTTTGCATCCCAGGGCGATAGTGGATTGTAAAGTCAAAAGGCTGCAGGGCCAAACTCCAGCGCAGCAGCCTGGCATTGTCTCCTGACACCCTGTTCAGCCACACCAACGGGTTGTGATCTGTGAGTAATGTAAAGGGTTGTCCGTATAAGTAGGGTTGCAACTTTTTGAGGGCCCACACCACAGCCAGGCACTCCTTTTCAATGGCGGTGTAGCTTACTTCCCTGGGTAAAAGTTTTCGGCTTAGATAAGCTACGGGGTGCTCGCCGCCATCTGGTCCAACTTGGCTCAGTACTGCTCCCAATCCAAACATAGAAGCGTCTGTGTGGACGAGAAAGTTGGATCAGGAGCAGAAAGTACAGGTGAGTTAACAAGTGCCGTCTTGAGCTGTTGAAACGCCTGCTCACACTCTGGGGCCCAGACTACTAGCTTAGGGAGATTCTTACGGGTCAGGTCCGTGAGGGGTTTGGCAAGGGCGCTATAGTTGGCCACAAATTTCCGGTAGTACCCGGCGGTCCCTAAAAAAGCTAGCACTTGGGTCTTAGTGCGAGGGGTAGGCCATTGGGCGACTGCTTCTATTTTAGCGGGTTCTGGTTTCTGTTGCCCAGTCCCTACCCAGTGCCCTAGGTACTGCACCTCCGCCATACCTATATGGCATTTGCTGGGTTTTAGTGTCAGTCCGGCCTCCCGGATCCGGTCCAGTATGGCTCCTATGTAGATCAGATGTTCTAGATACGCGCAGGCATACTCCTGGAACCCATCTAATAACCTGTCTACCCTTCTCTGAAAGGTAGCTGGGGCGTTTTTCATCCCGAATGGCATGGTCTTAAACTGATACAGGCCAAACGGGGTGACAAAGGCCGACTTAGGAATGGCGTCCTCTGCTAACGGAATCTGCCAGTACCCATTGCACAGATCTATTGTGGTCAGGTACTGGCCCCTGGCCATTTTGTTGAGGAGCTCGTCTATCCGGGGCATGGGATACACATCGGAGGTCGTTTTATCGTTGAGCCGCCGGTAGTCTACACGTTCCGTCCCGTTTCGGCACCAGTACTACCGGGGAGGCCCAGGGGCTGTCTGAGTGCTCTATCACTCCTAACTGAAGCATTTCCTCAATTTCTTTGCGCATATTTTCTTTGACTGCTTCGGGTGTGTGGTATGGGGGTTGGAGCAGGGGAGTCTGATCTAACGTTTCTACCTTATGCGTAGCTAACGGGGTATAGCCGGGTAAATTGGAAAACGTGGCTTTCTTTTCCTGAAGCAACTTTTGTACCTGAGCTTGTTCTTGGGGTTTTAACTGCTCTCCTAACTGTACCTCTCCCAGATCTCCGCTCCGGCCCTCTTGGTCTAGGAGATCGGGTAGAGGTAGATTGTCAAAATCTTCGGTGGCAGGGGCACAGATTGCGGTGACCTCCTCAGTGCGTTCGTGATACGGCTTGAGTGTAGGTTGGTTAACGCCACTGCCTCGGGGTATCGGGTGGCGTAATCCACCACGGTCAAGACATATTTCTTGCCGGATGGGCTGGGCTTTGCTAGAGGTCCTATGATGTCTACTGTCACCCTACTGAAGGGTTCCTCAATTATGGGCAGAGACCATAACCAGGCTTTGTATCTTTTCCCTCTCTTGCCTACCCTTTGGCAGGTATCGCAGGTCTGGCAATATCGCCTAACATCCTGGGAGATACCTGGCCAAAAGAAGATTTGGGTCAGCCTGTGCTTGGTACGACTGATGCCTAAGTGCCCAGACAGGGGGATATCATGGGCTATGCGCAATAACTCTAACCTATATTTTCGAGGCACTATGAGTTGTTTAATGGGTAAAGGTATTGACCCGGACACTACCTTTTCTGCGTGCCGGTACAGTAGTCCTTTGTCCCAGATATATCTTTCACCCTCTAACCCTGCTTGATCTTTATCAATGCGGTCTTTATACAACTGTAACGAGGGATCTAGGGCCACTTCTGACCCAAACTCTATGGAATTGGCCCATGGCATGGCAGTGGGTAGGGGAGGGTCATTGCTTACCTGAGCCTCAGAGTGATCGGATGTTGTTGTGGTGCGGGCCTGTTGTCGGGTCACAACCAGATAGGCTTCTTGTATTGTGGGTTGGGGAACAAAAGCTGAAGTCAGCTCCCCCAAGTCGTTGCCCAAAATCACATCCGCTGGCAAGTCTTGCATCATCCCCACATATACATTCCCGTGCCCCGCTCCCCAATTCAAGTGTACCTTGGCCGTTGGTACTTTGTAAATGGCTCCCCCGGCCACCCGTACAGCCACACAGTCCCTCGTGAGCTTGGGCTTTGGTACCAAGTGACTTCGGACTAGAGTTAAGGTGGCCCCAGAGTCACGAAGTTCTTGTACTTTTCTCCCCTCCATATGTACTTCCTGGCGGTGCTCTTGACGATTATCGGAGGCGGCCTGGATGAGGTTCACCTCGTGTAGGGTGCCTAGTGGTTGCCCCCAGCTCTGGGTTTTGGTAAGATTCGGCCTGTAGACAGTGTACTGCTGCACGGTTGCTTGGCACTGCATTATTCCAGCTGGGTCTGGGCCGATTCCGTGGGCTGAATGTGCCCCTGTTGCTTGCAGGTATGGCACCGAATTGGTGGGCGTGCTGAATACCTGGGG